AAAATCCCAGTAAGTGTATATTTATTGCTTTGTGTGAAAGTTATAGCGTCCACAAACTATGGTATAGATAATGGAATTTACAGAGCTTTTACTTTCTGACTGCCCATCACATTTCTTGAGGTGCTAAAATACCAGGATAGTACAAACACCCTCAAATGACCCCTTTTCGGAAAGTAGATACCCTAAGCTATCTGCTGAGAGGCATATTGAGTCCATGGAAGATTTATTTTTATTCCACAAGTTTCTGTAAAAACGACAAAAACTTTTTTTTTTTTTTTTTTTTACACAAAAGTTGTCGTTTAAATGATTCATTTCTCGCACAAGCCATGGGTATATGTGGAATTACACCTCAAAGTACATTCTGCTACTTCTACCGGGGTTACCACATGTGTGAGACTTTTTGGGAGCCTAGCCACATACAGGAGCCTGAAATCCAATGACCACTTTAAAAGCCTGAAGGTGCGTAACTTCCTCATTACACTTCACTACCTATCACAGTTTCGAAGGCCCTGACATGCCAGGATAGCAACCCCCCCCCCCCCCCCCCACAAATTACCCCTTTCTGGAAGGTAGACACCCCAAGGAATTTAAAAAGAGGCATGGTGAATATTTTGCAGATCTCATTTTTTCTCACAAGGTTTTGAAATATAAAAAAAATAGAAAAATGTTTTTGTTTTTTTTCTTCATTTTCCAAAAACTTTTGGCAACAAATCAGATCTGAAAAATACTTACCATACTTATCAAATTCCTTGGGGTGTGTCTACTTTCCAAAAAGGGGTCATTTGGGGGGGGGGGGCATTCTATCCTGGCATTTCAGGCTGGCCTCCGAAACTGTGATAGGTAGTCTGGAAGTGTAACGAGGAAATAAAGCCTTTTAAAAGCCTGAAGGTTTTTATTGGATGTTGGGGTCTTGTACTTGGCTAGACTGCCAAAACGTATCTCACATGTGGTAACCCCATACTCAGGAGAAGTAGCAAAATGTATTTTGGGGAGTAATTCCACATATACCCATGGCATGTGTGAGCAGTAAATCATTTAAGTGACAATTTTGTGAAAAAAAAAAAATTTTTTTGTCATTTTCCAAAAACTTGTGGTAAAAAAATAAAATTCTTTATTGATTCAACATGCCTCTCAGCAAATAGTTTGGGGTGTCTACTTTCCAAAAAGGGGTCATTTTGGGGGGTGGGGGCGTTTTATCCCCAGCATTAGAAGTTTATGCCACACATCACTCAGTCTTCTAACCACCTGAAGATCAAGCCTTTTCAGACACTTTTTGTTCACATGAAAAAAAATCAGTATTTTTTGCTAGGAAAATTAATTTAAACCCCCAAACATTATATATTTTTTTAAAGCAGACACCCTAGTGAATAAAATGGTGGGTACTACAATTTTTTTATGGCACATAATACTCACGCAGCAATTTTTCAAAAGCAATTTTTTTTTTAAAAAAATACACTTTTTTTTACTTTTAATGAACAAAAATGCAGAAAAATATAAAAGATAATGGTATGCCGAGTAAATAGATACCAAATATGACATGCTTTAAAACTGCGCATGCCCCGTGCAATGTCGACAAACTGCAAACATTTTTAATATCCATAGGCAACACTTTAAAAGCTACCATTTTAGATTTACAGAGGAGGTCTAGTGTTAGAATTACTACCCTTGATCTGATGTTCACAGTGATACCTCACATGCATGGTGCAACTGCTGTTTACATACCTGCACAGGGTCAAGCTTGTGCACACAGGTGTGCGTGCATGGGAGGGGCGAGTTTTTTTTTTTTTTTTTTTTATTATTTTGATTCTGTTTTTTATTATTTTTACACTGTACCCTCTTTTTTTTTTGACCACTTTTAATGCTATCACAGGGAATGCAAATATCCCCTATAACTTCAATGGGCATTGTCATATATTCTTTTTTGAGAAATCTGAGGTCTATCAGGCTCTAGATCTCTCCTCTGCCCTTACATTATCTAATCAAACCAAAATCGGTGTGATCAGATGCTTTCCCAATTTACAAATGGCGCTGTTTATATCCTGCGAAACTGAAGTGATGAAATGCTTGTAGCTTCCGAATTCTTAGACTATATAGATGATTGGCACCACTCTGGTCTCCAATCAGCTCTATGGTCTGCTGGCAGAAACACTGGCTGCATTCTCAGGCTGCCCCGATGGCACGGGACTGCCCGAGAACGCCGTGGAAGGCAGCAGGGGGCATCATCTCCCGCTGCTTGTAAAAGCAATCCTGCAGCTAAATAGCCACTAGGATTGCTTTTACATGAAAGCCGATCGCCGGCTGAAAAACATGAAACCAGGATGATGCCTGCAGCTATAGGCATCATCCTGGTATAACCAAAGTCCAGTGATGTACCAATACGTCACTGGTCCTTGTTGGGTGTATATTCTACAGTATGTTCTTGTTTTTGTATGCAGCCTGTGGGCTGAATGAAAAAAAAGAGAAGAAATCTCTGCCAGAAAAAGTGTGTGGTATGCCCACCATTAGAATATACCGCCCTGCATCCACCCACTTCTAATGGTGGGCACAATTAGGTCACACTTTGCCACAAGCGCCAGTTCCAAGTTGAACAAATGTTTAAATAGTGGCACGCTTGAATAAAAATTGTCCACGTATAATTGGTACCCCTTATGAAAAAATGATGACACCAAGTCCCAAACTATCTTGCCACTGCTCCCCATGTAGTCTGGGCATCCGGGGGGCTCCACGTGACTATCTTTTCCCTCATAAATCCGAAACTTATAAGTATAGCCTGTTGCCCTCTCACAGGTCTTCTACATCTTGACCCCATATCTGACACACTTGCTGGGGAGAAATTGTTTGAATGCAAGGCGGCCAGAAAAATAAACCAGGGACTCCTCAACGTAGATGTTTTGCTGGGGAGTATAGACATTGCAAATTTTTGGTTAAGGTGATTTGCGAGGGGCTGAATTTTGTGGAGCCGGTCAAATTCAGGGTCATCCCGAGGACGACAGAGTGTATTGTCATTGAAAAATGCATAAAACACATTATACTCTCATATCTATGCCTGGCCATGGGCAGCAGAGAACACGGCATATGATGAATCGGGTCTGTGGACCAATACAACCGAAATTCATTTCTTTTAGTAATGCCCATGTTGAGGGTTAGGCCCAAAAAAAATGTAAATTCGAAAACTGTAATGAGTTGCCACGCGACTGGTCTAGTAAGGTTTGAATTTGGGCTGGCGGCGATAAATTGTTGTGTAATGTATCAAGTGACAGTGACCTACTGACACTGCACTTGCTGGGGGAGAAGGGGGGGGGGGCGTAGGGGCTAAACGCAGGTGCTGGCAGGTGCCGGAGCTGATCTAGCTGATGCTGCATTTTTGGGGACGCTATACTAATTAGAATGCTGGTATAGTGCTGATCTGATCAAAGATATTGATCCGTTCAGACACTATACTAGCAATGGAGGTTTATTGTGCATGAGCATGCTCCTGGCAATCAAGGGGTTAAATGTGATGACTGGTGTACTGACTGGCAATCTGACGCTTTCTGGGAGGGGCGTGAACACCGCGAGAGCGCGAATTCATATATATATATATATATATATATATATATATATTTATATACCCATGCGATTTTGCGCACCCATGCTGCCCTGTAGCAGTATTTCTGCTGTAGGGCGGTCAGGAAGCGGTTACAGAAGGTTTGTGTTATGTCGCTGCGTTACTTTAACTGACAATTGCGCGGTCATGCAACACTGCACCCAAATTAAATTTACGTCCTGTTTTTTCCCACAAATTGAGCTCTCTTTCGGTGGTATTTGATCGCCTGTGCGTTTTTATTTTTTTGCGCTATAAAAAAAAAAGGCGACAATTTTTAAAAAAAAAAAAACAATATTTTTTACTTTTTGCTAGAAAACATGTCCAGTAAAAAAAAAATGTAAAAATTTAATTTTGTCATAAATTTGCAGCCAAAATGCATTCTGCGACATGTCTTTGCTAAAAAAAAATCCTAATACGTGTAAATTAATTGGTTTACGTGAAAGTTATAGCGTCTACAAATGGCGGTATAGATACTGGATTTTTATTTTTTTTTTTATACTAATAATGGCGGCGATCAGCAACTTATGGCAGCGATCAGCAACTTATAGCGGGGCTGCGGTGGACATTCTGACACTAGGGGGGAACTGACTTGGGGTCACTGACATCCCCAGTGACACCAATACAGTGATCAGTGCAAAAAAAAAACCAACAACACTGACACTGTACTAATGGCACTGGGGAGGAAGGGGTTAACTTTTTTAGGCAAAGGGTTAACTGTGTGAGGGGAGTGTTTTATTAGTTGGTGGGGGGGGGGGGGGGGGGGTGTACTTCACAGGAAACACACTGATCCCGAGAGCTAAACTCCGCTCTCAGGAACAGTGTGCTGGGAACTGACAGGGAGCAGAGCTGCATTGAAAACAACGCAGCTGTGCTCTGTGTCACTGGTAAACAAAGTGAAAAAGTGAGCGCTAATCAGTTCAGCAGCTGTACACTCAAGGCAACCAACAAAACCTCAATATACAGTATCAAAGAAATAGTGCAGCGCTTAAATTAATAGTCCTCAGTAATTCCCGATCTGTGGATGTTCCTCAAATTAGAATGGAAATTGTCATATCTTGACAAAGAAATTAATTTAATTAGAGAGAAATTAACACCATTTAAAAATAATGAGGAATATATTACAGAGTCTAATAAACTTAAAAAACATTTGGAAGGGGTTGAGAATGAACAGAAAATTAAAAAGAAAAAATATGTACGGGATTATAATGACTATCAGTCTCAGCTGGTTTTCTAAATTGTTGTGATCCTGGACCTGCTTGATCCAGAGAGGGATACCCTTCCAAGAGCTGAACCAGATGTACACTTCCAGTGACACCAGGGAATAATATTCATATACTGCACTGTACCCAGTGTAGTTCCGGTGAGTGGGCATTTCTTCCATTCTAATTTGAGGAACATCCACTGATCGGGAATTACTGAGGACTATTAATTTAAGCGGTGCTCTGTGTCACTGTTTGCTGGCGGGTAATGACAGGCCGGGACCCGGTGATTGACATCGGCGGCACGGGTAGGGCGGTCGCGCGCGCGCCCCCTACCTGTTTTGCAGAATGACGTTTTAAAACGTGATTCAGCACAGCGGTGCCACCCTGCTGCAGTATATACACTGTGGCTGGTAGGCAACCAGTTAAAAAGATAGCCAACTATATTTTGGCTAAGATTTATGAACAAAGATTATTTATTTGCAAAATTTTATAAGAAAAACTTTTTTTTTTTTCAAAATGTTTGGACTTTTTAATTTATATAGCAAAAAAATAAAAATCCCAGTGGTGAATACCAAAATAAAGTTTTATCTTTCTCAAAAAAAATGCTAAAAAATTCATTTGGGTACAGTGTTGCATGACCGTGCAATTGTCAAAGTGTGATAGCAGTGAAAGCTGAAAATTTGTCTGGACAGGAAGGTGGTGAAAGTGTCCGAACTTGAAGTGGTTAAGTCACAATTGTAAAATGTATTAGCCATCTGTCACATTTTGAATGCACAATGGTAAAAATATACACTAAAAAATCTGTACAAAGATCAGCTATAAAAGTCATAGTAAACCTGTAAAGTAGAACAATAATGATAAATGAACTCATCTATATATCTATATATGTATAATCACCTTGCAATATACACAGGGCAACTTTTTGGCAACTTCAACCACCTTTCAATTGCAAAACAATTACACATATTAAAAGGTAACCTACCCACAATCCTGCTGTAAGGTGGTTACTAGCTTTGATCTATATGACGTTTTTGTGATTGGGAACTAGATGAAATTGTTAGAAATGCGTGCACACTATAAAGGTTTGTGACTGCACAACTCTGTGCTAATGGAGTCATATATAAAGGAAATTGCAGAACTCTAACTGTCCCGGGTTATTGTTGGTGTTGCTTTTGTGTACAAGATGTTCCCTCATTAAATAATTACAAAACAGTTGAGCCTTTTTTAAAACCTGCAAAAGTAAGAGGGGTGAAGATGGAGCAGGAAATCAGCTCAAACAAGCCACTAAGAGTGCCCACCTGCATTGGTTGTTTACGCAATAACTTTCATACATGAGAACAAATTGTACTACATTTTAAAATATAGTACATGTTGGCTTCCTGCATCTGCCCACAGAACTATAGGCATACCTGGGAACTTTAATAACCCCAGAAGCCTGAGATTTTGGGTAGAATGAAAGAGGTGCGTCGAGGTGAACTTGAACCATGGCCAAAATTTCAGTTTTCAGGTGTGTGGTTTGATAAGGAGACTAAGGCTATGTTCACACTAGAGTTGTGTGCAGACGGCAGAGAGGCATTTGGGAAGCGTTTTTTTTACCGCTTCCCAAACGCCTCGGACAATTCTGCACATTGCTGCACATGGTGCTGTTCTAACGGGAGCGCCTCTGGTCGAGTCAGGAGGCGTTGAAGCCTCCTATTCTAGTCTATGGTGCCGCTCCACAAACGCCCAGCCGGCGTTTGCGACGCGGTTGCGTGGCGTTTGCGGAGCGGTAACACCATTCAAACTTCATTATAGGCGTTTGTGGGGCGTTTTTAACGCTCGCCAAACGCCTAGCAACCGCCGCTAAACCGCGCATGCAACGTTTGCGGAGCATTACAAAATGCTCCGCAAACGCCAGACCAACGCTTGCCAAATGCTATAGGGGCGTTTGGCAAGCGTTGGTAAAACAGTCAAGTGTGAACGAGCCCTAAGTTATAATAGAGCCATTAAAAGCAGATCCTACGTGAACAAGAAGCCTATTTTAAGAGCAAAGGTCACTCTCCTTTGGGAAATGGATACTGTAAAATAGGGCTTGACAAATCTGCTTTGAATCTAGGAGCCAGCTTAAAAAAAAAAAACAAAAAAAAAAAAAAAAAAACTTAGGAGCCAGTGTGTTTCAGTGTAGCGTGGGTTGCCAGCACCCGGGGCAAGGCAACGTTTGGGCGACAAGCTTCACGCAATGCAATTTGCCATGCAACATTCATGGCAAAACTGCACCATGTCTTAGGCGCCAGTGAAAATAATGCCACCTGAAACTGCGTTTTGCGATCACAGTGATTCTGCAGCAATCCGAAAATGCCCAGGTGTGAATGGAGCCGCCCTGGTGCACGCATATGCAATTCTAGATGCGTTTTCAAACTCAAAGATTTACATAACAGGCTAGTTTTAAATGTCTTCCTATTGAGGTGGTTTCTATGTGCATTGTGTTTTGAGTGACATTACAAAAAGGGTCCTGTGCAAGTTTGTTGCGTTGCATCCCAGATTCGCAAGTGAGTAGAGTGGCATGCGGAGATAAGCGTTCTCTTAGGATTGCTATTGACAGGCATCTTCGCATCAAAGTCTATGGGAGGTGTCTTTGCATCAAAGTCTATGGGAGGCAGTGTGTGAACCCAGGCTCCAGGATGTAATTTCTAGTCGGCATGGCGACCTGGTACTTGGGATTTGTCCAGCCCTGTTGTAAAATTAAGGGAAAAAAAATTGTTGGGAGGAGAAAGGTTAGGAAATATACTCACCTCTGCCCCGGCTTCTGCACTGTAGGAGGCAATATCAAGCTCCTTCTGACAGTCTCGAGGAATGCCGAGTACCCCAAATCTTACTAGAAGATGCTGCAGCACAGCACATTACTGCTGTATGCTACATGCACCATTAATCACTACATAATCTAGTAGTCTCTCAAGATTGCTATGTAGGGCTATGCTAGCCATAGATGGCTGAATAAAAGTGAAGTGATTCTTTTAGCTTTAGGCATTCATTGCAATTATATACCCATTCATGCACTTCAAAAGAAGCTATAAGGAAACATGACTGAATTAATGGGGGTGCCTCGTCAAGACAGTCATTCAACATAGCAAGTGTCAGACGCTGAAGAATACAGTGGTGGCTTTTTTTTTTTTTTATTTGTTTAGTATAGAGTGGTAGATTTGGTAAGGGATAGTATAGAGAAGGTTTTTAACCACTTGCCCTGCAGAGGATTTACCCCCCCCCCCCCCCCTTTCTGACCAGACCATTTTTTGCGATACGGCGCTGTGTTACTTTAGCAGACAATTGCACGGTCATGCAATGCTGCACCCAATGAACTTTATGTCCTTTTGTCTCATGAATGGAGCTTTCTTTTGGTGGCACTTGATTGCCTGTGCGTTTTTTATTTTTTGTGCTATAAACAAAAATGTCTGACAATTTAAAAAAAAAAAAACCTCAGAATTTTTTACTTTTTGCTATAAAACAACAGCTCAATTTGTGGGGAAAGAAAGGACGTAAATGTAATTTGGGTGCTGCGTTGCATGACCGCGCAATTGTCAGTTAAAGTAACGCAGCATCGGAACGCAAAAAATGGCCTGGTGGGGGGGGGGGGGGTAAATCTTCAGGAGGGCAAGTGGTTAACAAACTACATGCAATTCAGGTAGGGTTTACATCAACATTAAAGTGATACTAAAGCTTAATTTGTTTTGTTTTTTTTTTTTAATAACATATACTTACCTGTTCAGTAGTTTTGCACACAGCTGACCAGATCCTCTTCTCTTCGGGTACCCTGCCAGCGCTCTGGCTCCTCCCCCTCGAACAGTGCCCCCAGGGAATGTTTGCCCTAGGGGAACGACTATGTGCTCACTCCCGAGCCGCTGTTCTATGCATCCATAAGACACAAAGAGCCATGGCTCAGCCCCACCCCCTGCTCTCTCCTCATTGGTTCACTGGCTGTACTTGACAGCAGTGGCAGCCAATAAGGGAGAGTCCCCATACAGCCGAGGCTTTTGTGAACATTACTTGATTTGAGGGGGTTCAGGTAAAGTTTGGGGGGGGGGGGGGCCCTGCGCTCAGAAGGATGTTTACCTTCATGCATAGAATGCATGAAGGTAAAATAACCTTGAGCCTCAACAACCACTTTAAGAGCCGAAACACAATTATGCAATCAGGTGCATTGCAGTAACATATGCATTACCGCAACGCACCCCATGTGGTACATTTTGGGTTGTACCTCTTAACAGGAATCTTACCTAATCAAAGCCATCCTTAGCCACTGAAATAATTAATGTATGCTTATTATTACTTTTTGTCTGTGCAGAGAATATTGAGGGTGTTTCCAATGTACTCACACTCAGCTGAAAGTAATAATGAGAATGATAAATTTCAGTAGAAGATGAGAAAGTCACATCTTTCCTCTTAGAGGTTTCCTGTCCTCTCACTGACTTGCACAAGCCTTCCACGTAGCTCTGTAGGGTTTAACTCTTTCATTCAGGTTTGGTGAGAGGCAAACAGGCAATCTCTATAGGGAATATTCCTTAAACTGGCCATGCACATGCTAAACAAGAGAATTCCATAGCTTACCCAAATCCATGCTAAAAAGCATGGACGGACGGATCTCCCACTGTCAGCTGTTGGAAGCCGGAAACCACAGTTGTCAGAATACCAGGACAGTGAATGCAGTCGATTGGCTGCAGTCACTGTTCAGCACATATATACCAGGGCCCCACTTTTCTTTCTCTTCTCTGTGTAGCGTGTCTGGGATGGACCAGAACGATGTTCTGTGACAGAACTAACCAAATAGAATTGCTCTGATCGATCCTGGACGCGCTGCACAGAGAAGATAGAAAAGAATTTGGATTTCAAATACCTAGACTGCTACACGGGCTGCGTGGGCACTGACAGCTCAGCACCCACAGAGGTTAAGTTTAGTGGGGACCAGGGTTGTATGGTGTTAATTTACCTTTTCATTTTTTTCTGAAAAAGGTGTACACTTTAACAACTTCCCTACCATGAACAACATCCCTTGTGAAAGCATGATCCATGACAGGTCCTCTTTATGGAAAGATCTTGGGTCTATGAGACCCCAAATCTCTCCTTTAGCCTCCAATACAGCTGATCAGTCACAGACCGGTCTGACTGTCTGCTTACCTGGCCACATAAACAAAGAGCTAGAACCAGAAGTGATCCAGGGTCACAGAGATAGAGGAACGACTTCCGTTCCTCTGTGTTCAGCCACTTGAATCACTTCTGCTGATGAAGGAACCCCCAACTGCACTTTCTGATACTGGCATGATGGCATGATACT